AAAAATTTGAATTTGATGAAACTGAGAAAAATACTGAAATTAGTTTCTATAATCTGGATAAGAGGGGGCCATAACCAAGAGGTAGATATTTTAGATGAAAATAATATTTGCAAAAGCACGTGCAGCACTTGCTTAAAGCCTGGTTTTCTTTCGAGCTTCATGCCTTTTGGTCCTTGAATTTAATAGAAATTTGTGGCCCTGAAACAAATGGGTATACCCACATGTACACATCTACACATACAACCATAGTGAGCATCTATTCAATTTATTCATTATCATTCCTTTTGGATTTCTCCTGTCGACTTAAGTCATCTGTTTATTTTACCTAGGCTATTACATTTTCTTTAGAGACATTAATGCCCATTTGTAAATAACAGTGTATTCTTCATAAATGGAAATTACGGACATCCTGCATTTAGAGTAGTCGCCAGTTAAGATATATTTTCATATACTACTAATTTTTATCAGAACATAGTATCCTACTTAAATTCTCAACTGATTCATCCTTCAAAATCTGGGAATAAACAGTTCTTGTTTATTATTAACAGTAGTTAATATGGATATTAACTACCATTTGATCTATGGCATTCCTCTAACAATTAAATTCATGAGTAATGTAAGAACATCATAGCTGAAAAAAGTCTTATTAAGACTTTTTTAATGTGGAAGAAAACCATAGGACTAGTCTTGAAGATTTCAAAGGAAAAGCAACATATAATTTTAAGTTTTTCATTAATGTATATTTCTCTACAGAGAAATGAGAGACTATATGTGTTTATCTGTGAAGATAGATGTGGATGTCTCTAAAGGCTTATATAAATGTACATGCTGGTGTGAGTCGTCATTCCCACGAAGTCTCCAAATGACAATTTGGTGATAGCTCTGGAAAAGCCCAAGAGCTTTCTCTTTAGTAGGAATACCAACTATCTAATTGTTTTACTTTTATTCAAAGAAATTTAACAAATGCTGCTCATTTCTTGGTTGCCTTATAATTTTATGAAATTCACAAAAAAAGAGACAAATGTGAAGGAGCCAGATTGTGCAAGAGTCTTAGACAAACAAAAGATTCCGGAACAAGCTAACACAGTAAGTAGAACAGGTAGTGCAACTTCAAAGTTATATCATACACACCACAAACAGAGCTAATCTCTCAACATCAAGAGATACTCTTGTGGACATTTTGACCTTAATTTTAACAAGGAACAGGTAGACACTGGTATTTAAGAGTTAGCATGCTGTACTTTGATTCCTATTTGGTGACTCATGGTTTTCAAATATTTTCAGGTGCTGACGTGAGTCACCAAAGTCCTGTGTCTCTCACTCCTGGCCTTGTTAGTAGTCGGCAGTGTGATCTATGAACTCCATTTCCCTGTACGTAGAATGGGGGATTGAAATATATAATTTATGGTTTCTTTCCATTTCTAAAATGATTGCTTTCATTCTAGAAATTTAAGATCGAAGTTGAAAAGTAAATAGAAATAGCGTATTTTGACAGACACTCCCAGAGGGAACAAAAAAAAGGAATGCAGACAGCAAGGGGATCTGGTTAACTTTGTGCAAAATGGCATAACACTGATTAAGAAAAGAAGGTAAACACAAATTTTCTGACATTTACTTCTGCTAGGAGTGTAGACTGGTGCAACATTCCTGGAAAACAATTTGATGATAAAGAGTCACAAAAATGTCCATTAATTTCTAACTTGGTAACTTCACTACTAAGAATTTATTCTAAGGAAAAATAGAGATAAAAGTTGATGGGCAAAGAAAGATTCATTTCAGCGCTATTTATAAGAGAGAAAACTAGAAAAGCAAAACTATGTGTCTTACAAGGAGATAATGGTTAGAGCATGCTGAACTCTGTGAGAAATGTGCTTCTTTGTTGTCATAACATATAATGGTGGTATCTTGACACAATAATGCCAGGAAGTACCATATATGTTTACTTCTTTTAACAAATATTTGAGTGTCTACTATGTGCAGACATAATTCTAGGCTCTGGGGACAAAGTAGCAAATAAAGAGAAAGATTTCTCTTCCAGCCCCCCAGAAGTAGTAAGACTATAAACAAAGAAAGAAACAGGTAAATATGTAGTATATCAGATGATGAAAAGTACTATGGAAAAAAACAAGGTGGTGGGAGTCTGGAAGAGGAGGAGACTTGTGATTTTATAGTCACAGTCAGGGCAAGGCTCATTGATCACAGATTTTGGAGCAGAGATTTGAGTCAGTGAGCTAGTGGACATGTAAATATCCAAGAAGGGTATTCTAGGTCAAGGAAACAATTTCAAAGGCTCTGAAGTAGAAGTACACTTGGTGTATTTATGAAACACCCTAAAGTCAGCAGTGGGGAGAATGGCAAGAGATGAGGTCGGAAAGATGGGGTGAATGCAAGTCATATGAGCCTTGGGTGTCACTATAAGAACTTCGAGCTTAATTAAGCAAGCAATTAAGTCATCAACATTTATTGAGCCCTCATTGTGTAACGTAATTTTGAACTACCAATAAATTGCTTATGTATTCCCTGCTAAAACATACTCTCAGAATATTTGTTATCATTTAAAAAATATTTTTTTAATGTCCAATTAAACAGATGAAAGAGAAAAAAAGCTAATGGAATGAAACAACGAACTGTAAGGGCAAACCTTATTACCTTAAACCAACCAATTTATTTTGCATTCTTCTTGATAAGGAATAAAGGTGAAGAGAAAGGTAAAAAGGCCTAGTATTACTGACTTCCATCTCTGAATTATCATACGTTTCAGTCTCTTTTATGGAAGGTTGTTAGAAGGGCCATCTAATAGTATCAAGAGAGATTTTCCTCAAACCTCATCCCACTCCACCTTTTGGACATCAGTGTTTCAAATCCAAGAATAGTCTAATCTATAAAACCCGGGTCTGGGGAAACCCTTTCTGGAGTAGCTACCCTACAGAGATATGATTCCAGGAATTGGTTTAGAAGCGGAAAACCTGAGGCTCATGACCAAGAGGGTCCCATTACTTGGTGCTCACTGAGGTTTTGGGTTCTGCACTCCTGGTAGACCCCACCCTGATCCCAAGCTGCAGGTTTATTTCTTCCTCAGTCATGTCTCATGTGCAGATGTGGGTGACTTTGCTGATAAAGGTGGGCAAGAGGAAGGGTGTGTGCCAGCATGAGCTCATTCGCACCTGAGAAACACAGTGTACATGTCTACTTGGTGACGTCCAAATTGTGATGAGAAAGATCAGGCTCTGCGATTTGAACCATGGATTCAGTGTGCCTGTTACCACTCAAATAATGAGATAAGGTTTCCAAACTCTCTATTTCACCTTCTTAGGAGTCCTACCAACTCCGTAGCACCATTTTGGGATTTGAATATGTAGGATGATGTATGTTTTTTTTCTTAAGCTGCCCAAACCCAGATCCCGTGAATATTGTCCTCCAGTGACTAAGAAGACAATGTTGTTGGTGAGACCTCTGATGAAGAGAAATTTCTGATGAGGGCATAGAGTTAAGCAACATGAGAAAGATGGCTCTGCAATATTGTCACACTCTCATTCTTTCCTGATGCTTGTGTCTCCTGCTTCTGCCAAGACTAGTGGCAAGATTGAGAGATTTACTCATTCACTTGCTGAGGGAGATCACCTTTCATTGCAGCATTCTGTTCCACTGACCAACATATTTATATGCACTTTACGTAGGAATACCCTGTGAGATTTATTGCCAGCCAATACTTTTAAAAGGTCAGAATCTGGTGACAGAGTCAATATCCAGAGCTATTGGGAGCTGCTGAGCCCTTCTTGGAGACAATCACTTTTGCACAAGTTGCCTCAGAGATGTAGCAAGTATTGGAATTCAGATAGAACCACACAAGAGCACAGGGAAGGGGAAACTAGGCAAATACATGGCCATTCCTGAAATCACCAGCACGCTGGAAGCTTAGACTTATCTCATCCCATATGGGTAATAGCTGATTGCAGACCACTGAGACTCAGCAGTAATTAATTAATCTAAGTAAGTGTGTCCATTAAAACCTACTATCTGCTTCAAAGGGTACTTGTGAAGATATTTAGAAGTAAATATATTCTCCAGGGTAGAATACTTTGTGTGTTGGAAAAATTCCCAAGAACCACTCACTTAAGCTTTCATGAATTCCTTGACACACTAATATTCAATCCTTGACTCTTGCCTATGGAAATTTGATAAAGACATTAGTTTTTCCTTGATTCTAGAAAACTTTCTTTACATGAGGTCCCTATAGTAATTTTTCCTATGCCACTCATATTACATTTTATCTTAAGTGGTGTAGTAATATCTACTCTAAAACTCTCCTCTTTCTTGCAGTAGGCCTTTACGTGCATGTGTATGTGTATGTATGTGTGTGTGTGTGTGTATGTGTGTGTGTGTGCCCATGCATGCACGTCTGCCCTGCTTTCCTAAATATTATATACAATATCTTTCCTATAGGCCTTTTGCTTCTTTATTCTCCTCCTTGCTCCCCCTTCCTCTCTCCCTCCCACATCATCTTTCTCCCCTCTTTTCCCATTCATTTTTTCACAAATAACTAATGCCCTACTATCAGGGATATTTCTAGGACCTGGGGTTATAGGGGTAAGTGTGAGTTTTAAAGAACAAATTTGATGATGATAAAAGAACTCTGGATACAAATGTGGTGTCACTAATTTTCACAACATTCTATTTTTATAGCAATACACTTACATTATTCTGTAATTTTAAAAAGTTTCTGTTACTTGCAAAGTTCTTTTCTTTATGGGCAATTATTCCTAGGCTTTAGTGATAAAGTCAAATTCTAACTTTTATATATTTAAAACATAAATGAGCATCACAGTTACAACTAAATTGATAAATGTCCCCAAACACATTGATATGCAAACAAAATATGGAAGTGGAGAGTAGAGAGGGGATATAGTTCTTTTGGTACTAACAGTGGGTGGTTTTTAAGAAAAAAGAATCATTTGTCTTACTGGGGCAGTCTAGACACAAGGAAATAGAGAGACAAAAGATAACAAAAACTAATTTTTATTATAATTTTCATTGAAAAAATACAGAAAATCAATAAAAATGAGCAGAGGTAAATAGTCAATATTAAAACAGTTCAAGCAAAAATAAATATACAGAAAACAGTAAAAGTGAACGTAAGTCCATAGTCGACATTAAACAGTTCAATAAAAAAATTAAACTACTGATCCAACCTAGGCATTCGGGCCACATATGGAAAGGAGGTGCAACTAGACATTCTTGAAGCAGTCTTTTCTTTCTCAAAGGTGCTGCTTAGATCCAAGGTGCTGTTTTAGACTAACATCTGAAGGAAGGCGAGGGCAGAGGAGGGAGAGAAAAGGGAACAGGGGAGAAAATAGAAAGAGGGGAAGGAAGAAAAACTAATATTTCATGAGCTTTTAAAAAATATGATGTTAAATACTTTGTTAGGTACCATATGCATTACTTCATTTAATCCTCACAACAACCCTACAAGGTAGGTATTACTTCTCTTCATTTTAAAGATAAGAAGGGAGGCTCATAGAGTTTATATCATTTGCCCCAGGTCACATAGTTGATGTGGCAGAGAGATTAGAATGCAACTCCACTCCAAAGTCCTCCCACTTTCCTCCAACATCAGGTATTCCCCATTGTACCACACCCTTACGTGGAAAACAACTCTTGGTGGATTTATGGCTCTCAGGAGGAGCTGATCTAGCCCATCCAATGTATACCTTTTTTTGGAGCTTGGGAGTAGAGAAATCTGGACCACATTTCCAAGAGGGCAAGTCTGATTTGTCTATTTCTTCTTTGTTTCAGAAGAAAGACCTCAACAGGTGGCGAAAGAAGGCATAGAAGGATTGAATGCTGCCTACCCGACTGGCGGGCTATTAATAGTTCCCCTAGAGCATATTTGTTAATAGAAAACGGAGAAAAATGTATGATAAACAAAAATGTGCAAACCTAAATGTGCATGTTAATCAATGATTACGAATATGAATCCACCTAGATTCCTCAGCTGTCAAATCTAAGGATAAAGAAACTCAAAGGAACACCAAGCAGGTAGCAGAGCTATACACTAAATCATGTCTCCATCACATTCACAGCTCCACAGGCTAACGTTCTCTATACTGATGGTCCCTTCTTAGTTGATGATTTTTCACAATGTATTTCATGGCTTCCATCCCTACATGAGACTTTATTACTATCACATAGGAATAAAAAGCCATAAAGCACTAGAGTGAATTTATCTTGGTCGGATGCAAAACTTATTTTCTTCACATGACTTCACAACCATTTCAAAGCTAACCAATCATTTCATGCTACATTAAATAACATTTTAAACTGCACGTAAGTGACAGGAAGCACACTTAAATTGTGACATCACAAATTAACAAGATTTTATCCTTCCATGACATTCTTAGCTACAAGGACCAGGAAACAAGACCAAGAGACACTCAGCGACATTCAGCCATTGAATTCACCAAAAACAAAGGACACTGAGGAGAATTCCTGGAGAAAAGCTCATCACTTTGACATTGAACTTGGAAACACATACGGAAAGACAGAAGACAGACAAATCACTGATGCAAACTGAAACCAGAGGAATTATTTCAAGCCTCTTGCTCCAACTTCTTCCCCAGAAAGCTTTCTTACATATCCATGCTGGCTTTTAGACTTTTCATTTTGGGGCAGGTGGGGAGTGGGGATCTTGGTACCTGTTTGACTCTGTAAGCGTTAAGCTTTCTCTACACCTAAATAACAAAAGAAAACAAAAAAAGCATAGCATACTAAGGGACCAAGAGTTCTAACTGCTCACCTACAGCCTTTTATAGAGAGGCACCCCCACCCCATCGACAAAAGAGAGAATGATGCCAGAAACAATACTATGCACTGAAATCTCTCAGTGATCTAAATAACTCAGGTCCAAAGACCAAGAACGTTCTTCATGCTGCATTAAAGTGACATTGCTCTTGGTATTATTAAAACACTTCTAAGTGGCCATGTTGAAACCCAGTTCTCTGTACCACTGAAAACTCAATACCATGAATCCCAATGGTTTTATCTGGCCTTTCAAAAATAAACTTGAGGTGCCTATCTACCAACTCCCAAAACAGCATTCCAGACTATTAAGCTCTGCCCTCTGCTTTATTTTTTAAAAATGTATTATTCAAATTCAAATACAAGAAACAAGAACTTGAGTTTGTCCTTAGGAGTAAAGGCTAGGTACGCTATTTCCATCTAGAGGTGACTACCATGACATCTTGGTTCATGTGAATCACAGGGAAGAGACTGGAAATAGTTAAATGAAAGGAAGTGCACACATAAATTCAATTATCATGCAGAAAACATGCAAATGATTTAAGCACTGCATCTGAAACTCTAGTTTATATTCATTAATCTCAGGTCGCACTTTTGAAGGAGAAAGACATGCTAATTGGGTCCAGATTAATGCACTCCCAAACCTCTCCAATTTGTTTTTAGGTGAGGGTTAAATGATATGTTTTAAAATAAACACAGCTGCTTGTCTGCCTCCACTTTCTACCTCCCAGACTCCACCTCTACCTCCTCCCTCAGCTGGCTCAGCTCTCCCCACTCGCTACCCCCGCAACACCCATCGCTCCTCTACCACATCTCTCCTTCCATTAGGGAAGGGGTTTAAGAGCCCTACCATTTTCCTTTTGAAAATAAAATACACTAGAAGAATAACACTGTTTCTTAGCTAGCTCAACACTTTCCCTTTCCCCACCAGCCACCAAACTCCAGAAACAGAGTCAATCACATAAATGGTGGCATCAAGAATGTGGATACATGGAAAGGCAGCCTTGCATTTGCTCAGGCAGCAGGTTCTTTCTACAAGTTTGGACCTGCATCCTTTGGATCAGTATTGAAGGGCAGTTTTAAAGTGTCAAGGCACATGCTTGCTGAAAGCCAACATTGCTGAAGGTTGGCATGGCAATCCTGTGACTGTTATGTGGGAAACTAGAGACTCAGGAGAGAACTTGGGGGTTTTTGTTGCTGTTCTTCCTCTGTGGCTCACTCAGCCAGCAAAAACTGGCACCGAGTGGAGGGCACTCAAAATGCCTTTCAAAAGGATCCCTTGCTTCCTTTCTCCCTCCTCCCTGACAAAATTAGCTTTAAATAAAGAAGAATGTTATTACTGATTAACTGACTGATTGATTTAATGTATTAAAACATTAGTTTGGGATGCACATTTTAGGAAGAATCTTATCTTGTGAGGAGTGAAGCTTTTGAAATAGCAAAATACTCATTTCCTGGACCTGATCTTTAGAAAAATAAAACAAAGGAAGAGGAACTGTGGGCTACTGGGAGTAGACCCAGGCACGGATCTGGGATGGAAGAAATCCTCTCTGAATGAGCAGCCACCAAGGAGTTAAACCAGGCACACACACACACACACACACACACAAAGCCTTCGAACTAATTTCACACTGAAAGTGATGTTTAATTTGAATCATGCTCGTCCCAAAGGGAAAAGGTTAGTCTTGTCACTTGACTCATATCCCCTCCCCTTCCTACTTTCATGTGAATTGAAAATTCAGATTCACCATTAATCATGATGTGACACGTTCTTTTTTCCCGTTCCAAAAATCAAATGAAAGCCTGGGACCACATCTGAGAACCCAATGTTTGGCTAATTCTCCCAACCTGCATTCACAACAGAGAGAAGACGAGAACAAGGGCACATACAGACACAGAGACATAAATTACTGGACGTGCACTCACAGCAATACACACAAATACGCACAGCTAGTAGCAGTCATTGGCTCGGACGAGAGCCTTTCCGCCTAAATTGATTTTTGCATATTTACAAACGTAAAATTAGTCATAGTAAATAACAACATGGGCAAGATTGATATTAAATCTGTCAACATCTTGGCAAATGCTCTGAGCACTCTTTAGTTAGGAAATACACGTATGATAGTCATTGCTCCTAAAAGAGAAAATGATTATACGCTAACCAAACCCTAAGTACAAGCTAAAGATATTCACCTCATGAAGCCATTCCTCAACTAGCCCCTTGGCACTTGCTGGAATTATTCACAGCACGAGCTCTACTTTCTCATTTTCTGCTGACTCCGTGTGGGTAATTTCTTTCTCATGATTAAAAGTGAGCTTGGCAGATCCTTCAAAGCGTGGCTTTAGGTGTGTGGGGGCTCTGAGTGCATTCTTTGTCTAAGGCAGGTCTCCAGTAATTCATTACTGGACCATTGGATGAGCAGGTCAGGGGAATATTCCTGAACCTAAAATGATTTTTTAAAAGGAAAATTTTATAGATATCTTTATATAAACATATTTGTATACTGCAACATGCCGCTGACCAGATGAAATGAACTGTTTACCTTGGAAAGAATAGGTAGGGTTTTCTCTTCCAAGTAATCACTCCAGCCTTTCTGAATGTCATCCCAAAGCGATTCTGCCTCCTTCGACTTATCCAGCATCTGAGGTTGTGAGATAACCCTGGTAGCACTGGCCTCCTTCCCGGCCCCTTCATTATTAGCCTCCTGGTGGGTGAGATAGAATACAGTGAATGTAATAACCCTACTTCACACAACAGGCTTGCTCTCTCTTTTAAATGGAAAATCCCCTTATTACAAAACAAGGGGTGTTCTTTTTCTTCTACCTTTAAGTAGGACTGCCACATTCATTGCTTTTTACAAAAACGCAGCTGCTTTTTAAGCTACAGATAAATAGAATCTGCTAGGCGGTAATTCAACTCAGTCTGAATGCATTATTTTCTAAGACACTTTAGCGAGGGGCTTTTTATTATAAACTGGAATGAACAAGGAAAGTCCTTTTCTCTTCTAATTATGAATGTGCTTTGTTTCCTACTATTAACCTACAATGTCAGATTGATCTTCTTCTTCTTCTTCTTTTTCTGCAGTCAGTTCAATAAATCAACTTTTTTTTTTTCTGGAAAATTAGAGGGGTAATGATTAAGTCTTCATGAACTTCAATGACAAAAATAAAAATAGCACATGGGAAAAGCAAATGCTGAAACCATAAATAAAGACAATGAAGTGGCCCTCTGATGTCCAAGGTAACAAATCCTGTTTTGACACCAAAAGTTAAGATTAAAAGGATTTACTTAATTTTAATGAATTTAATTTTAATAAAGTTTTCCGGGCATCTCATTATATTTGTTCACCTAGAAAGGATGAAGGTATTTTTAAAATAACATTTCTATATAAAGCACCCAAATCACTCATGTTTGTTGTTTACTTGTTCATTATGGGTAACAGTTTGCAATGTAATCAGTCATCCCCACACTTCTAGAAGCAACTAAATGAAGAATTAAAACAGAAGAGGAAACACTGTGATAAAGCATATTCAATTTGAACTCCTGCAGATATTTCTTTAACTTCAAAGATAAACACTGAGAAAAATGGTGAGTTCCTAATAATATCAAAAGGCAGTCTAGAAACTGGAGGTTGGTTTAATTTTGATCCCAGTGTTGATATTCCTGACTATAATATTACAATAGACCATGGTGGTTATGATCTAGGTCTATAAGGATATATTGTCTTGCCAAGGTGGGGGGCGGGGGGGAGGGAATCCCACAGGATATCAGTGGGGTTCCAATTAAGGAAAAATAAATACTGCCACAGCCCTGACAGTAAGTGGAGATTACCAGTATATCACAGAAGCACAGGCAGGTGCCCCACTACTAAATTTACAGATTTAAAGCCAATGCTGTCATTTCCCTTCCTTTGGCAATAATAGAAAGCAAAGTGTTGAAGATGAACTCTGCATGGCATAGTTTCAGAGCAATTTACTCTGTTTGTACAATTTTGAGTTTATTTCCAATAACGGTGAGAGTGGAAATCAAAGGGGCCTTACACAAAACACAAAGTCATTCATGAACCCTAAACTGAGATCACATGCATATTCGAAAGACCCCAGACCCAATGTATACGAGAGAGAGAGAGAGAGACCTCAAAATCATATTTGCATCTAAAACCATGCTGCCTTTATTGTGTCGTTCTGTGTGAATGTTTTTAAAGGGGATATTTATCACAGGTGAGATGCAGACCAAATTTTCAGAACACTCCCTCTAGGAAGAGTATATCTGCAGTAAGTGTTGGTGACAGAGCTTTTGAGATTCTACCACTCTGCTTAGATTTGAATCCATTTTCTATCCTCCTGTTATGCCTGGGAACAAATGAGGCCTGATCAGGTTGCTGGCCTCAGTATCAGGAGTCTAAGTGATGCTGTGGCAACACAAAAAGCCCAGTTTACCCAGAATAAATAACCAAGCCCCTTCCCTGAGAAACAAATTGAAGTATATTAGGCATCACTATAAGAGTGAAATTGAATCCCAGGGCATCGATATCTCCATTGAGCTAACGTCACAAAAATAAGCCTGCTCTAGCAATCAGGAATTTATGTTTGCAATATTGATGTGTGAGGGAAATAGAAAAAAAAATCTCAGCTATATATCTGAAAAAAATTTAATTTCCTAGATATCCTGATACAGTAACACATTCTTTTTATAGAAACAGGTTTTACTGAGTTACTCACAAAAATATCTTTGGACATCTGCTATCCTCAATTCATTCTTTCTCCCTTTTAACCCTGAACAATCATTAACACAGACAAAACATAGAAGGCAGATTTGAATGTGAGCTTATGAGGAACAGCATATAATCAACATACTCTGCTACCTGTGTTCATCTTTTAAGTTAATGAAAAATTATGTGATGATAAGTAAGCCATCGGCCAGAACTCTTAGCCCTTATGAAACTTCCAAAATAATTAAGTAAGTAGCTCTACTAAGAGCAACTCCATGATGAAGGAGAGAAAAAGACCTGTCCTTGTTGACCAAAACCCAATGGAATAGTGCTTTAACAACCTGGCCACATTTCATTCTGTGTTTGAGAAAAGAAAAATAAAGGCCAGGTCCAGTGGCTCATGCCTGTAATCCCAGCACTTTGGAAGGCCGAGGAGGGTGGATCACCTGAGGTCGGGAGTTCGAGACCAGCCTGACCAACATGGAGAAACTGTCTCTACTAAAAATACAAAATTAGCCGGGTGTGGTGGTACATGCCTGTAATCTAGGCTACTAGGGAGGCTGAAGCAGGAGAATCACTTGAACCTGGGAGGTGAAGGTTGTGGAGAGCCGAGATCGTGCCATTGCACTCCACCCTGGGCAACAAGAGCGAAACTCCATCTCAAAAAAAAAAAAAAGAAAAAAGAAAAGAAAAGGAAAAAAGGAAAAAAGAAAAATAAAGAGAAGGAGAAGCTAAGTAAAAAGAAAGAGGAGGAGGTGATGAAGGAAGAGGATAGAAAGGAGAAGGAAAAGGCAGAGGAGGAAAAATAAAAATACCAATGATTGCAATGAAGACACTGTTTCATTCCTTTCCATGTAAAAATGATTTTCTTCATACAATCTCTCTCTCTAAGCCTCACTTTTTCTCCTTGTAAGTCGAAGATAGTTGTGCCTGTCTTATTGGGCTCCTGTAAAGATTAAGTTGTATGAGTTACCTGTGATACACCCGGTAAGTAGTAGTTATCCAGTAAGAATCAGCCATTTTTATTATTGGCACTGTTAATTAGGTGACCTATTCCCTTTGTGCCCCTCTACCTGATTCATTCCACAGCCATCTTCCAAACTCTAAGCACACCCAGCAAAGCAAAACAACCCCAGTACAAAGTGACCCCCAGCATCACTTCACTTCGTTCTTCTACCAGATTCAAATCACTTTTGCTTACAATGGGAAGTCTAAACATGGACTTTGTTTTACCTCCAGGTTCTGAAGCAAAGACAGTATATCTCAGAAATGAGAAAGAGGAGGCACTAAACGTGTAATAATTAGAGCAATCAGCTAAGCCATTCTGTGTTCTGAAAGGGTTTCATAGGTATAGCTAAGTTTTCAATTTATTAAGAGGTGGCATCCACAGGGAGAAAATAGAGTCCATTTGTTTTCAGAGTTGTTGCCTTCCAATCCTGAATTTAAGTTAGTATGCATACCACACACATGGCTGCACACATACGTGCAGACATACACACAGTTGAATTAACAACCTCTCAGGTGTACTGCAGCTCCACTCAAGAAACAGACAGCTTTAATTACTGCACCTGAAAGTCTTCACTTTTCCTTGACTAGTGATAAAAACATTAAGTTGCTAGTGATAAAAACATTAAGTTGCATTGCAAATATCAAGTAAATCTGATTTGCAAAACTGCCAAAATACTCCATCTTTCCTAAACAAAATGCCATCTAATGACACCCAAGTCATAAAAGAACATCAGGACTGTGACTCTATTATTAAGACAGGTAAAATTTCAAATGATGAAATAGCAGCTTATTCTTAAACATAACTTGGTATATTCCATTTTAACTTTGACCAAAAACTTTAAGCACCTTGTTTTAAGTGAAAAAGACAAGCCATATTATGAAGATGAACTTTGGCATGAATATACAGTTTCTTCAGGAAAAAAAATACAGTGTTGTAAATATTAAAATTGTCTGCTCTTCGCCTCCTTTTTCCAAGTCTATTTTCTAAATAGGGTTGTCTGAAATAATCTCATTTTTATAAAGTCAAGTATCTTATGATGATCAAACTTGATAATTAGTGTACAAGAAAATGCGAAATCTTAAAAGGGTAACTTCAAAAAGATTTTTTCATCCTGGTGGCTGTTTGCCCATGAACATGCCTTCCAAGCCAGAAAGAGGCTCCAAGCTCCACTGACCACAGGAAATTCCAGCCAAGATTCTAATCTCCTCTGCAGAAGGCAGTACAGAGGCAATGGATGGGAACAACACAGCAGAGAATGCTGTTGAATTTGGTGTGCCCTACAAATGAGGAAACACTGATATCTCCCCAGAATCACAGTCAACATGGAGACGCTCTAAATATAAAAAGTAAGACAAGCTTTTTAATTTCTTGTCAAGGCTTCCTGACATCCAATACTTTCATGAGGTCAAGAAATGTGTCCCCAGCTTCTGTTTTCTGTTCTCCTTCAGGGAACACGGTGAAGAGGCCGCCCAGCTGCCTTTTAGCATGTCACACTTGGCTGACTCCCTTCCTTTCTAAGGGAGTATGTCTACTGCATTTGGACTCACAGAAGAAAAAGCAAAATTAATTTAACGTAAAAGAAATTCACATATTTTTGCCTCTTTAATATTCGAGAGAATGCCCATGATTTGTAAGTTGAAAAAGTCTTACAGAATGAAGATTACTGAGGCATAAATCACATAGGTAAAAACTGAGATGTAAGATGGGATGAAATCTAAAAGCTAATTAAATTCAACCAGGGCTTCTCAAAAGACAACATGCCCACTTATCTTCTTGTGCTAATATTTTATTTTTCAAGGGAGCAATAAATGGAAAGTCGTCATGGTTGTAGATTCCACAGTGTGATCCTTTAGCAAGAACCTGAGAAGGGGGAAGAAAGATTAGATGCATGGGTTTCTGTGCCGAATGGATGCTGGGACCAAGATGCAAAGAATAGATAAGTTAGACCTTCGGAGGAACTAAATTTGAAGCCAGCCGGTAAAAT